TTTTGAGAAATCATGTTGTGTTGTGAATTGATTTCCAAATTTGTTATTGATCTAACAAATCCAAAAGGATTGTGTTGTTAAGTTGATTTGGTAGGGTTAAGTCACTTAAATTGCTTACTTATATTGTAAGAGATCTCTTAATTGAAATGTGTAATGATGCATTGAGTTGTCGTGTTGCCATGTTGTTTAATTTGACATGTTGCTAAGTTGTGTTGTGTTGTAAGTTTCTATGTTGTTATTATTTTGTGTTGATATATTGTTCAGTTGAAAGAATTGTGTTGCTATGTTTCCATGATGTGGTGTTGTTGAGTGTTGATAAACTATGCTAAGTTGAATGTTGAAAAAGTTGTTAAGTTGTAAATACATGTGTGTTGTTATGTGTTGTTAAACTGGACATTGGATTGTAGTTGTGTTGATTTGTTGATATGATATTTTCTTTCACAAGTTCACTCTTACTTTTTTATGTTATTGGACTACAATCATGTTTGTTATGAGAGTAGGACATGATTAGGTTAGATGATATGTTGGGTGGATGACCATGTTGGAGATAACTTTATTTTGTTGTGTTGTTTTGATACAACAATTGTGGAGAGACATTTGAATACTAGAATCAGGTCAAAGGGAGTTGAGTGGTATGTTGAGCGGTAGAAACATGATATAGGGGTAATTAAATTGACTTGTGATGGAGCTTTTTCTACTATTACATCAAGCAACATGTGGGGGAGTGTCCAAAGATCATAGTAGTAGGTTTATATTCACATTTTTTCCTATAAATTGGGGACATGTAGTGTAGTTTAGGCAGAACTTCAAAGGATATATAGTTTATGAGCTCATACTTACCATGGTAAATAGATACAATCATGTGTTCAAGTTGAATTAGATTCATAAGTTGCAATCGGATTCATTATAGAAGGTTATCTAAGAGTTCATATTCTTATTTTTCTCTAGTGACAAGAGATTAAGAATCTAACTTCCCAAATTCAAACAATCTCATTACTAGGGAGGTAAATCAAGTGGTAGATGCTTTGAAAACAATGAGTTATCTTTTTCATTTTACACCTTTTATGACACTCCACTCATGGGAGATACTTTTTGTATTACTTACCCAATAAATTTTAATTTCATTTAGTGTGATGTGAAGACTTAGGTCCCTTGCATTAAAAAAAAAATTGTGATGTCTAAATAAGTTGTGATTAATAGAAATTCAATAAGATAATTAAATTTATTTGATGACACAGTTTTTAATATTTATTTTTTCATCTATGTAAACAATAAATATGATGCATCCATTCAATGTTATTATACTATTAAACACTCAAGTAACTCGATCGGATTGAAGCAATCTTATGACTACTAAAGGTGACGAGGATCTCCGAGGATGAATATGATGATCCCATATGAATATATCTGTACGAAAATGATGAACTTTTATAACTTTTATTTGCTGCTTCTCAGCTGTGCAAATTTATAGCATGGATACCACTTCGGTCACGCAGAGTAAGGCGAAAGAAAGGAACCTAATCATGCATGTTAACATGGTTGTCTGAACCACAACGTTTTCTTTGTTTTCAATTTACCACTATTAGTATCACTGCTGTTTCACGATCTCTTTGACCTTATTCAAATTCAACCATCCATGTTAGGACCAAGACACATTCAGATTTTTAGGCATCTTTTCATTTTGATTAATGTCATTTGAACAAGACAAAATGATATTCTCTTTTTACACTCCACATAATATGTATTTGAAAATACCACAGTTTCCTTATGGTGCAAGTATTTATTAATTTAGGAAAAAATATAAATTAATAGAAAAATATTTAAAATTATATAAGGGATATGCTATTTTTTAAAAAATAATTGAAAGAAGGGCCGTTGAGAATAACAGGTCTCGTTTTATGAAATGAGAATACGACAAAAGATTAAATTACCCACTATACAAATGCAATATTTAATTTAACATATAAGAGTATACAAACATTTAAATTTCATATGATTAAACTTCAGTAAAAAAGAACCTTAAATATTAATTTTGAATTTAATAAAAATATTTTTTGTACTGTCATTTAATCATAGATTGTCATGTATGATAAATTTATTAACTTTTATAATAGTTATTTTAAAAAAGTCCTAGTACCTAAGATGATTTTTAACAATATAAAAAAATTTATACTATCAATGCATGAAAGTTAAATGCTATTTCTTTTTATGCATTGATTTTAATAAAAAAAATTAATTTAGCAGGAAAATATTAAGAGATCGATACTTATATTTTAAAATATTTAGACAAATGAATTAAAAATTAAAAATTATAATAACTCAATTTAATATGAAATGCTACAACAACTTTTTTAAATATATAAAACTCTATTTTACCCCTATTTAAATTTATTTGACATTTTTTTGGAATAATTTTACTTGTATAATAGCTCTTTTCCTATCTAATTCATGGTGCATTAGTTTTTGAAAAATCACTTAATTAATTACGCATGTATTCTATTAATTTTATCTTCACAACAACTTGAGTCAAAACAATGTTTTTATTCAACGAAAATAAATTAGTCTAATATCTCAGGTTTGGACTTGAGAATTTTTTTATCCCTAGAATCATGTAGTATTCGGCACAATTATTATCTGTCTCATCAAAATTTACAATTCAGTCATTTTCTTAGAGTTTTTCTATAAAAGAAAATACAAGTGTATATAGTTTATCTGGATATAAGTTTAAAAATATTTTTTAGAGTTTCTCAATTGAAAAATATTCTTTATTTTCATCAGAAAAATTATAAAAAATGTTTATAACCAGTACTCTTTGTCAAAAATAAAAATGTACGGTGAAGATGGGGATTGCTTATACGTTTTAGCATTGGATTGTTATTTTTCCATCACACAGTTTTACAATTTTGTGCCTTAGTGCAGCAGTGAGTATTGATTTCACAAAATGGGTTATTGCAATTGCACCAAAAATGGGACTCTGATTGTGTTTTCTTACCAAATTTCAGAGGCATGTATGTGGACGGATGAAATTTCTCGAGTTAATTTCAACCTAGCTAAACGACTTATATTATATCAGAATATTCTTATGAAAAAAAAAGAGAGACAGAATAAGAAAAAGGAAAAGCGTGATTTGCGAATGAACTCACTATGTAAGGCATCTTTGTCGACTAGGTCATCTGAGTGGTAGAAAAATCTATAAAGTGGGTTACGTGTTTACTACTTATTTTGAATTTGAAGCAAATAACAGTATCTCATGAAAGTTGGCAAGCTTTACCATGATAAATAGATAAAACACATTTTCACTTTGCTTCGATATATTAAAATAAAATTTATGAGAAACTATCAAATTTGTCATTTAATTCAACTCAACTTGAAATGTGTTTGAGTGAGCTGTAGCAAGCTCAATTTTAAATTATGTTGATTTTATAAAATTAACTTTTATTGAAACTGAACTTAAAAACTAATTAATGCTTGAAATAGTAAAATTTAGTACTAGTATAAATTATATTTAATGTGTTGATACTGTCCGTTCATTAACATTAATAGAGCTTGTATAAGTAACGGTTAGTGAATTAATGAGCATAATTGTGGAGTTGTTAGTTCGAAAATCACGAGACCCTACCCTAATAGTTTAGTGCAATTCACTCTAGTCGAGTTAATGCCCCAAAAACAGTTATATTAATTGTACCAAAGCGTTAATTAAAGCTAACATGGTGATGGCAGGATAAAGTTGTTATCAGAATTTAAAAAAAAAAAAAAAAACTCTTAAAGACGTACTCATGCTTAATGGTTTTAAAATTTTGAAAATCACTTTCGATGTGGAAAGAAAATATGCAATGATTATTGTCTTATTATGTTTTGTTATTTTGGAAATTTCTTCCTGCTTCATTAACATTCCCCTCATTCATGTATGCATAAAGATAATAATAAAAAAAAAGTGGTTAAACAAGAATTCATGGAACAAGTTAAAATAATTAATAATCAACTAGTCCTTAGTATGAGGAAAAATAAATTAAATTCTTTAAATAAAATTTTAATTTCAAGTCTTATAAATAAATAAATATATTGAAATAAACATTTATTAATATTATGTACTAACAACAACATATTTATCAAAAGGAAACAAATTATAATTACTATTGCAAAACGAGCGTTTCATAAAATGGTAATAATCGCATGATTAAGGAAATATTCATCATTTAAACAGTTAAATGAGTTTCTTATTTTTTTCATTATCAATCAAATTAAATATTATTAAATTTTTATAAATAATTGAAAATTACTAAATAGAGAGTGATATTTAAATAAAGAATTCTCAATATATTATTCATTTCCTGTCAAGTAATGATAGTGTCTTGCTTACAATGAAGACAAAAAAAGAATATAGTGTGCAGTTTATCAAAGGAAAAAAGAGGGACTAGCTCCTAGGAAGACAAATCCGTTCACCGAACCTCTCACCTACGAGGTACATTTTCATTTGTTTCTGGCTTTAGAACCAATTTTGGGCAAAACAATTCGCAAATTGAAATTCAGTCTTTGCAAAGAAGCATGTAATAATCATGTAGATGAAAATTACAATTAAGAGTATAATTTTATTCTTATATGAGCCCTAAAAATAAAAAAAAGTCAGGTATTAAAATAATAATATTGGAAATTCTCCCATAATTAAGCCCACCCAAAGAATGGTAATGTGTTGAGTTAAACACCAAAAGTAAGAAAGAATTTACAAGGCAATAAATGTGATGCTTGGAAAGGAAAGAGTGGGTTATAGTTAGTTTCTCCCAGAGAGAGGAGAAAAAGTCTAGATATATGACCCTGAAAATAATTCGCATTAATTGGTTTTACCAAGATGAGAAGGTGATGAAAACAGTTTTTCACTTTTCACACGAGGGACGAAAAAGTCAGTGACTACTACACTAGTCACTAGTAGCGAGTGGGAACCACGTAAGCCGGTGAACCGTACACACTATATAACTATTTCTTGACGCATCACAAACAACCAAACCAACAACAAGGTCCCATTGGCGTTTCACTTCATTCATTCACATTCACTCACTCGCTCCCTCTTTCGCTCTTAAAATCCGTGCACTTCGTTCCAGACGCATGAGAGAGAGAGACTGAAACGCAGGACAGCGTTGCCGTTTTGGACGACGCTAAACGACGAACCAAAACGCGTTCGCTACAAACACAAACCGTAACTCACAACTGTACCACTACAAAATCATCGACGGTATGGCCCTGTCACTACTATCTTTAATTTCACCGCCACAAATATGGATCTGAATTCTCAACTCTGTTACTCCTAAGTGATTCACTCATTTACGCACTTTTCGCTATGAAAGCCAAAATCGAAACCACGTTTTCTCACAAACATCGCTCTCAATTGCAGTTTCCATTCAGCAACACGCTGAATCAGTGAGGCGAAGCGCCAGGAGAATGGGAAAATCGACCACAGGGAACAGAGACTGGACGCAGATGTACGCGATCTACGGAATGGAGCAATGGCAAACCCTAATATTCCTATTGTGCCAGGCGATACTCTTCTCTGTCTTGTCTGTTTTGTATCTTCTTTATTTCGATCTCGTATGCAACTTTTTCGAGCGAATCTTTTCGGGCGGCGCCGGCGGCACCGCGCGATTCGCTGCCGGAATCACCGGCTCCGTGACGGCGCTCTCCGCGCTGTGCCTGTTCTTCGCGGCGGCGAATTTTTTCTACTCGTCCGTACCGCTGCACTTCGACATGGCGCAGCGCATCGTCTCCGCCGTGCACGACTGGTCCTCGGTGAAGCTGGCGCTGGACCTCGGCTGCTGCGGCCGCGGGATCCTCCTGAACGCGGTGGCGACGCAGCTCAAGAAGGAAGGGAGCTCCGGCCGCGTCGTCGGCCTCGACCGGTCGAAGCGGACGACGCTGTCGACGCTGCGCGCGGCGAAGATGGAGGGAGTCGGCGAGTACGTGACGTGCCGCGAGGGCGACGCGCGGCGGCTGCCGTTTCCGGATAACTACTTCGACGTGGTGGTTTCCGGCGTGTTCGTGCACACCGTCGGGAGGGAGTACGGCGCGCGCACGGCGGAGGCGGCGGCGGAGAGGATGCGCGCAGTGGCGGAGTTGGTGAGGGTGATGAAGCCTGGCGGTGTAGGTGTGGTGTGGGACCTACTGCACGTGCCGGAGTACGTGCTTCGGTTGCAGGAATTGAAGATGGAAGATGTGAGAGTTTCTGAGCGTGTAACCGCCTTCATGGTCAGCAGCCACATCGTTTCATTCCGGAAGCCCAGTCAGCACGTCCATGGCCCCGCCGAAGTTCGCTTGGACTGGAGATTATGCTGACCTGGATTTTTCACACTAAATAGACAAATATTAATTATATATATATATTAATATTATACTAAGAAATATTTTCTTAAAAAAAAAGAGATATGAATGAGAATATCTGAAGGTAAAGTTATGGCTGGGGAGGCGAAGGCGAACCAGATCTTGAAAAAAATTATATGTAAAAAAAAGCAAAGAAGTGGATGATGCAATAATGTGATGAATCGAGTTGGAGCCGGATTTTTGTATATGTTGCTGGTTTTATTGATAGCAATGAAATTGTAGCCCTTTTGATGTATCTTAGTTCTTGTTTTTTTTTTTTTTGTTTTCTCAAAATTGATTTTGAATGCTGTGTGATTGTGTTGAAATTGTGTTAGATTATGTTTATTCTGTTTTTCATACCGGTGCTAATTTTTCAAACGTTGTTTGAATGGGGGAAGGTTTTAATTATGAGTAGTGGAAAAGCCGCTAATCGTGGCTTGAATGGATGAATAGTGAGGCAAAGAAGAGTTTCTTTTGATTTTTAATTTTTAAGCATGAAGGTGTCGTTGTCTTTATTTAATTTTTGGGGTTTCGAGTTTCTCTCTTCCATGTGAGGTTGGATTCTATTATAAAAAGTTGAAAGCTAAATGTCGACGAATGGATGGCAAAAAAAAGTAGTGATATTTCTTTCCGGTACAATGCAACTTTGTGGAGGTTATGGGTTGAAATGATGGCGTGGACTGCTGGCCCTGTTGGAGTCACAATCAGAGATTTTCGATTGCGAAGCTTTAACCACATGCTGGAGGAGTTTGTTGAAGTTTACATCTCATGCTACGGAGTGAGGTTCGTGATGTTGCTAGCCATAGAGAACTGAAATGGTTTCCCAAAATTTGGTGATGGAGTCATTTAACTTCGTTTTGTTCTATCAATTTGCACGTGAAGTTGAAAATTACTGGTATTGTGTTCATTACTCCTTTTTTTTATTCATAGGCATTTTGTTCATTTTTTTTTTGTCATTTTATTAAAATCAATAATTTATTATTGGTATTATTTTTTATTTTTATCCTTGATAATTAATATATGTTTATTGAATAATATGTTTATTTATTTTTAATGTCTACTTATTTTTTTCCAATCACTTATATAAAGTTAATGTTACATATAAAAGAGCAATATATTTTCAACAAAATACTATAAAAAATAGAAAGTAGAATAAGAAAGTAAGTAATAAATATTTTTAAAAATTTAAAATATTAATCATTTTTTAAATCTCGTGTAAAATCTTAAACGACTATTAATAAAAAAAAATGGAGGAGTAGTAATTATGGTTAATTAATTGAGTTATGAATTATATTTACATGGTGTTGTTTGTGGGGTTGTTGCTTCTCTGTCAATCGCTAGAAAGCACTTGAAAGGAAATAACTGCTTAAGTGAAAAATAGAAAGGGCATCGTGCAAAATCTATCCCGCATTTACAATTCATGTCCCGCGGAACCAATTGAATTTATTAGAAGGAACTGTCGTTGTCACTGTTACTGATAATGTATTGCTTACCCTCAAATCAAAACCATTAAGTGAAAATTATATGGTTAAGTTTTTATCTCATTGACATTATAATGGGTTAGATTATCTAAAATAGTAGCCTCTCCCAGGACCACATGGTGCATGTGCTCCTCTAATCCTGACACCTTAGGTGTATGGGGCCATACTAGCTATCCCATGACCAATGGCCACTTGGGACTTGACATCAATGAGGCCATCATAATTTCTTTTCTTGGGTTCATTGTAGATATCTCATTTCTTGGAAGATCACATTTACAGAATTATCCATACCATATAGTCTCGAAATCTTTTCCATTGTAAAGTAGAGATAAGATTTCTGAAATGACTGCGTCTTGCTTCTATTTTTGTCATAAATTCTGATCCTTACTGTTATGAAATTAGGAAGGATAAATAAATACCTTGAAAATCTGCCGCTTTTAGAGGACGTCAGAAGTCAGAACCAAACTAAACAGGGTTTTGTCTTTAAGCTTTTGTTGGATGCGCTAAAGAAAATACTACTATCTCTTTCGTTTACTTGTTGTAAAACTTAAAATGGAAAATTCTCTGTTAATTTGACAGCAACACTTGTATAAAAATCGTTTTGTCCGGAACAATGTATCCTTTTTGATTCGAAATTGAAACCCATTATAAATTTCCGTGATGATCTTGGATCCATGGACTATAAAGAGGTACTGTACAAAGTAAGATGTGAATAAGAACCGATAAATGTTTGTTGTTTGTACTCAAAAGCAATCATGATAACATGATGAACTCAGAAATTAAGCATCTGCATTGATTAACGTTAACCGAAGATAATAATCTTGTGTTCTATCTCATTATTTTTTCTTTTCTTTTGGGGACCAGAGACATGTCTCTCCATTTACCTATCCAATGCAAGTCTATTGCGTGGAGAGGAAAACATTCATCGAAAATTTAATGCAAGGCCCACTGGTCACAAATGCCTTTGACACGATAAACTCTGCTATGAGATGAACATTTTATTTTATTTTTTGAAAGTGAGATCATTGGTTATTTTAAAAATATACCATTCAGGAAGGTTCTTATACATTTTCATGTATCGTACACCGTCTGCAAACTTTGCCCCTTTTTGAAACAGTCCTGATCAGCCACTAGAGCAAGTTGCTAAGCAATCTATTTGGAAATGATCAAAACAGGAATCCAACACATTCTCCTTTATAACATGTGTTTTATTATGTCACATTAATATATGTTGAAAATAATATTCATAAATATATTCTTTGTCTACTTCAACGTAACAAAAACAACTATACGAGATTTCTTGCTTTCTCTTCTTTCAATTCTGATGCACTTTGTGCCCGTGGCACAGTGGTTTTGGAGTACACGGTAACACAATTTCAGTCCAAGCTTTTTACTGAAGAAAGATGAAAAGTTGAAACAACTTGGATAAATTTAGTAATTTGAGATCACAAAGACGCCAAAGATTTGAAATGAACAAGTTAATTTAGCAAACAAAGAGCATGCCGTGTCATGTGAGCAATATCAAACTGAACCAAACCACGCCTCCATTACTCCCATGTGGATATTTACTCATACCTTTTTTAAAAAAAAAGAAAAAAGAACACCAATTTAATGCATCACATTACTTCCCTCCATGTGTCACTAATTCCATCCATGTGTCTCCTATCTCTCTTACAGCATCGCAAGAAAAATTAAATTACTCCACACATGAGATCGATTGAGCTCATTCTCTGAAGTTGGGTGGTGCATTCCATCTCTGAATTGCACCTGACCAATTGGTTTGAATGATTTATACGCAATCAGCAATGTAGCATGTGATCCAGAGCCAATGACATTTTTCGTTTGTGATATTTATTAACAAGTTTCTATCTAGTGTTAGGAAAAGGTAACCAAATTTGAATGGTGGACTACAATATATATTCACGGAAATGTATAAAATACTCGGGTGAAATCGACATAGTTGGAATCTTTTTGGGGGTGGTAAGAGAATTAAAGTGTTCTTATAAACTAGTTTTCACACTTGATTTTGTAGTATCATGTCGTTGTTTCTACTCTCTCCCCTTACACTAACCCACACCACAGTGCCAGATTTGGGGAAGGGTAGATCTATCGTACACGAGAAGTGTGTCTCTAATTATGTAGGTCCATTTGGGGGTAGATGACTTTGACAGGAATGAGATGTGGCAGCAAACTGTCTTGGACAAGACATTTTTCATATACTTAAAAATTAGATCAAAATGATTTTAATAGTGTATGGTCTAGGTCGGAATCCGACTAGGCCCTCTACACGGGATAGGTTGGCCTTGGCATGAGCCGACTTCCCCTCCTTTTCCCTATTTCTCTCTCTCTAGAATTTCACTCGGCTCCACTTGGTCCACGTAGATCAGGTCGGCCATATGCCGAATCCACTCGCACTTAAACAAGTACTCGGTCGGTTCCTGACTGACCTTTTTGTGTGAACCTACTCGGTCAAAGACCGATCCTGCATCCCATAGAGAAGTTCCTCAAAGGATACATACTCTCGGCCTATTTCCGATGTGATTCAAAGGGGGCAGTTGCTTTGGCCTTTTCGCCTCATAGCTCAAGGCTGGAAGGCAAGTGTACCGTCAATTTCCGACCTGTTCCCCGTAACAGGTTGTAATCCTGATCGGAATCCAACCTTACCCTCTCCCTGGCGATGGGCCGACTACGACCTCGGCCGACTCCCTTTCTTTAGGTCACTCGGTCTACGCCCGAGTTGGCATTTTGGCATGAACCAGCTCGGCCCCATCCTGATTCCCCCAGCCTATAGGACCCCACTCGGCCAATACCCGACTGGTCCCTCGGTACGGGTCTAGTCGGTCAGGACCTGATCTATAATCCTAGCGTTCACCAAGTATCTTCAAAATGATAACGGTTAAGGAAATCCCCGTATTCACGGGGCCCATGAGGCCCATGAACAAGAAAGTATAAAACCTAAAACCCTAAAGCTAAGAAGGCAAATTACACTTTTGAATGCTCTGGCTTTGAGACTTGACCTAGGAAGAATCCCTAGTCCACCCTTTGGCCGGAACAAATAGATTTAGTTTTGAACTATCGAATGTAAGTGAGATATATACCTAAATTAATCTTAATAGATGATCATGTATTTCCTTCGAGGAAAATTGAACTAAGATCTCTATTATTTGACTTCAACTTTTGTAGATAAAGAAAATATAATGAAAAAAGTTGTCAATGAGATTCTTTGGCAAAAATTAAATTAATTATTAATAAAATTTATAAATATTTCATATCAATAAGATGTCCCACTCATAAAATTCATTTCAACTATAAATTTTTTTACATTGATTTTTTTTTCTTCATATAATGATGAGAGACATCGATTTTGCTAGTAAGGTTAACTTTTTCTCTTAAATCAATATATTTCTCATTCGAATGTTAATGATTAATATTTTAAAGGATTGAAATTTATTTTAGGAATTGACCTTTTCTAATAAATATTTTTTCATATAATAAGGTTAAAAGATTTGGATAAATCGTACAAGATGTGAAGGTCAAATTCTATTATTAGCATTTCACATTTTAAAAAAATACATTAATTTAAGATATTTATCAAATGGCAAAAAGTAGGATACATATGATGGAGAACATTGTTCTTGTAAACCCTTGAATAATGTACCAAAAATCAATCTAGAGACAGTGATTCTCTCTATCTTAGAACAAATGGTACTCTGCAATAATGTAGCTTGGTCTACCAAGAAAAATATTATAGTGTGTTTCCTTGGCTACATTTCGTTAAAATAAAAAAAAATGCAGACTAATTTATAGTGCTGACGACAAGTGTACATTATTAGGATTCCTCGTTTTTATTTAACTAATGTCCTTTTACAGCTAATTTGTGCTTAATTTGGTAAGCGGACAATTAATTCGCTGTAGTTTCTGTTGCTAGTAACACTATAAATCCAAGTATTTATAATATAGTCTATGAATCAATTTAAGCTTTTTTATCCTCACGGTGCAAATTCTTTTTAAAATTTCCAAAATTAGTAACTTTAGAAAAAAATTCTCAAATTAGTGTAATTGTGTTTGTGAAATACACTTTTATTTCAAATTAGTGTAATTTGTGTTTGTGAAACACCATTTGTAAAATAAAAGCAGTGTTTCACAAACACGATTTTTATCGTCTTAAAAAAATCAAATAAAATAAAAATTGTGTTTTACAACACAATTTTTTTTCTCAAAGTAAATATGAGATGGAAATTATTTTTTAACATAAAAAATATGATTTTAACGTAAAAAAATAAATAAAATGTCTCGATTAGTGACATGACTTACCACTTTGAAAAGAAAAATAAATAGAAAAAATTGTGTTTTTTTCACGATTTTTGTAAAATATAAGAAAAAGGAAGAGAAAGTAAAAGTCGTGTTTCAGAAACACGACTTACTCTAATTCGATTTTTTTTTTTCCTTTTAAAAGAGTACTCATTTTATTTTAATTTTTTGAAAAAATACACGTAATCCGTAAAAAAGCCATCAATTTACGATGAAGTTGTAGCTTTGATATATACTCAACTTTGTTAGCAATTTTCCTGATTTAACAAGTGATATCAACATTTGGATTATGATATCACCTCACTTCTTAGTTCAATTTTATATAGAATAGTGTTAACAAGTTTTTCGGGTATACGTTTATAATTAGATGAAATTTATAAGAATTTCACTAAAAGAAACACACAAGTTAATTTCTTTAGCATGACTTACATGAAATTGATCTTAACTGATATTTTTCTTCAAGATGTATTTGATTAGATTTGAGGTATATATTCTTCCTCCTTAGCCACTAATTATGTTGGGCTACACTCAATTATGGATTTTAAGTTTGTAAAAATACTCTATTCTTTAAATGTTATTTTTAGTACATTTTTCATAATTTTTCTGCTGTGGCAAATATATATATATATTTTTTTTGTGTGTGTGAAAGTAAATTGAAAAATAGGTTGGAAAAGTAATTTTCCATATTATGGATCTTAGAGTGATATTCAATATTTCCTTATTTTGAGAACAAAATTCAATATTTCTATAAAACTCGAAATGATTATTTATTTATTTATTTATTTATTTTTATATGAACTTTAATATGCTTGCATGTAGTTTTGTATGATACATCTTTTTTAATTGTTTAAGTACAAAATGTTAAAAAGTTATTGACAAGTGACTGATATGGGTGCTTGTACTAGAGAAAATTGACTCTCTTGTACAAGAGTTATCTCGGGTTGCTATGAGTCATTACTTTTTAAGTGGGATCACATGTATTAATTTGTGAAAAATTCTTTACAATTTGAAGAATATTTAACATCGCACAGTATGTACAAAATTTTAAATCCAAACTTTATTTTTATTATTATTATTATTATTATTATTTCTAATGATATGAAAAAATATAATTGCATGTCCAACTTTAGAGACAGTTATTGAATAACACATTCAGCTATAAGGAATTTGTCTTTATTTATTTATTTATTTATTAAGAGATAGCTTTCTTAATTTAACACGTAATTGTGGATTAACTTATGTGAGATGTTTACTGATGTTACATTTTGTCCAAAAATAAATGTGTTTTTATATGGGCTTCATTGTGATAACTTTCTATATAAAAAATGAATTAAATGTGAAATTAGGAGATCGTGTGATAGATTTGGATAATGTGAATTAAAAATGAAATAATATATAATTAGATTTATTGATACTAAGTGTCAACGTTAATGATTTTTTGATTAATAATTTTTTTACAGCAAATTTAATTAATTCAATAATTAAATCATGTAATATATTCATGGTCATGTATGTAAAATTTCATATAATTCCAAAACTATTTGATAATTCATCACATTACTTTATTTTAATGTATAATATACTATTTAATATATATGATCACTAATGTAATATCATATAATTCAATAATTGGATTGATTAAATTTATATCATACAAAAAGTTATTAAAGGTGTAATTTCATTAATTTTAGAGAGTGAAAGAGAGAGATCAAGTTACTCTACTTAATAACATATGATATGTATTAAATTTTAACGATCCAACTAAGTGTATGTAAATTTAAATTTATGTAATGAAATAAGAAGTCGTTTCCAAAATTTTCAAAAAATAAAATAAAATATTTGATGTTTCGTTACATCGATTCAAATTGATGTATATTCATAAAAAAAAACATATTGTATGTTAATTTAAATCTATTTAATGAAGTATTATAAAGTTTCCAAATTTAACCAAGCCAATTGGTCTAATAGTTATTCAACTTTGAGACACTATATAGACTATGTTCATGACATAAAAATAAAATAAAAAATGGTTTTCAAGCTTTGCAAAAAAAATTTAAACTTAATTTATTTATAAAAAATTTGTAATTAAATGATTGAATGATTAAAATTTAATATAGATCACGAGTTATTAAATGAATTAATTTTATCAAGAGTTATTTTTACAATAAGTAAATTTCTTCTGTCCCCCTGTATATACATATGTGTGTAGTCAAGATCTATCAACATTAAATGTCAAAATAAAATTGCACATTTAATAACTTATTGTAGAATATAAATTTAATCAACCCAACATTAAATTATACAATATTACGTTCATGATTACGTATAAAATGTCACGTAATTTTTGCTATATATATTATCTAAATGAATACTTTTTTTTACACCAATCTAAATGAATACTAAAATATTTTAAATATTATGATAAAATAAAGTATATGATAACTAAAGTTTGAAATTATATATTTGATCTAATTAACAAGAACATCAAATATAACAATTAAGTTTATATTTAACAAAAAAATTATTAAAAATGTAATTTCATTGCCTTTGACACATAGTTTCACGGGATCTTACATACACATCTATCACATTTTAGTAAAATTAAAAATTTTAATATAAAAAATTTGAAATTTATAAACCTGATACTCGTACAAGACATAAGTTATTAATATAATTTTAATGAAGTTTAAGCTTTATATTATTTAAGCTTTCACTATATAGACGTGTCAACGTTCAACATGCACCTCAAAGTAGATTCCAAATTGTTTACACCAATTGATATCTCTAATTCATTAATGATAATTGACAAGAGAGAAAGTTGGGGCAGAGGTAGTCAACAAAATGTTCTATTGCTCGGGAGCAAAACGATGAAATTGTATATGGTGGTTCCAACTAACTTTCATAATTTTATATATGAGACAAAAGAATGCTATGGTCTGTGTATCTGTCTATCGTACAAGGAAGAGCACAAAATTCCACTGTACACGCGCCAGGGTTGCTGCTGATACTTTGATCACTACATGAAGGCTATAAGCAACACAAATCCAACTAAGGAGATTTTTCATGCAGGGCAATGAAATTAACAGGCGCAAAGTTACACTTTCCTACTTTACGGAAACCAAAAAAAATCTCAAACATCCTAAACCTATGGAACACAAACTGAATCAAGCTTGAGTGGAGTGGGATTGAGACTTAGAGAAAACTCATGAATTAACTGGAATGCAGAAGGACGAACTGAGAGGAGGTGGCAAAACACAAACCAGATGTGGCCCAGCAGGTTTGCAGCTTATATTTGCCTCATCAACATCTGGAAGCCCAAGTAAGGGAGGGCGAACATAACCAGCCACCAGTGGCATGCATAATACTGAGATAATTATTCTTGCGCCTATCATATGGTAAGAAAGAAATTCAAATATCAACAAAGGCATAGCACATTGCAGGTCATTCAATGTGAAAAACATGTTCCTCTCAGTTACCAAAAACAATATCTTTCCAAAATGTCAATGGGTCCAAGTACCTTGTTTTGGGGACAGAGATGCATATCCTCTTTTCCTCCCGGCTATCATCCAATTTCCAGAATTTGCATTTACCTCGTATAGTACCTCATCCTGGCAAAATTGAAAACAACACTGTGGCATCAAACAAAATACAGAAAGAGTTGAAGAGAATCACACAATATTCGCACAATATCCAGATTCGAGACTGAAACAACTCCTCAGACTATGTAGTTAATCAAGTTTACTCTCGTGTTTCTCCAAAGAAAATAGACACAGGCAAGCTGCATATTGACATCATTCAAGAGGGATAGCGGTTTGGGCAAGGTTGGAGGATTAAATTGTTGGCAGAGGAAGAGGAAGAGGTGAAACTGAAAATTATACTATATTTGGAAGATTGAAGAGAATATTAACAAAAGGAGTTTTTTTTTTTTTTAATGATGGACCCATTAAAATAGATACAATAAATATGAGCCAGTGGAAGACTTGTATTGTACAAATAATTTTCATTCTTGCATTGTTTGTTGTTCCCTAACAACGAAAGAATACCTTTTAACATTTTTATTCGCTCAATTGTTGCACAATAACGAGGGATAAATATAATTCCCTTCCCTCACACAACCATTTCTCATTATTGTTTTTAAAAGAAAAGAAGAGCCTCTACTTTCTGTCCTCTCTCAATTTGTTCCCAAAATATATAGAAAATATCAAATAAGTTGTATTTGCATCCTCACTTAGCTGTCAAACAAAAAATAGAACACACATAAATAAGTTGAAGTTGTCAATTTGAAATCCGCAACAGTAAATACACCAGTGATCTAGGATCCATAAAAATGTTGAACAAGTAGCAAAAATTGTTATGTTTGCTTGGACTTACATTCTGTTTAGAAACTCCTGCCTCATCCAAATCCTTTAACCTTTCCACTCTCCATTGCATCTTAATTAGTTGTCCAACTCTTAGACCATCTGAAGGGAGAGGAAGAAAACCAACAGCTAGGCATGGATCAAGCACAGGCCTTTGCAAAGTAATTGCACTCCTGAAGATTAACTCCTGTCTGGCACCATCAACTCCAGCAGATTCATTCATGACAGGAGGGTGGGCTCCAATTGTTCTATCACCAGAAATTCCATATTTGATATTTAATATGCTTTCTGGTTGCTCCCTGGCTTCTGCATTTTTTTTTTATTTTGAAAAATCAAATCAGCTGATTAATTGCCAACATCAGGCTATTATAATTTCCAAAAATAAATACTTCCATTGGAATAAAAATGTGCACCACAGGTAAATCAGGAAAACACTCAACTTGTCAATTTGCAAAATGTCCAGACCTCAGAAAAATAGAATGCCATAATGCTTTAATATTTCATAGTATAACATTCTATTTACATGCCCCACATGCTTAATGAGTAACAAGTCTTGAAGAAAAACATAGTGAATTAAATGGAAATGTGACCACTAAGGTGGTAATAATGTAATATCATAAAAATTCACAATCAATTGTACCTGTGCAACTAATAAAATCTATATATATATAAGAACAAACGTTTTCCTTGTTTGTTCAGAAAGATCAATATTGAATCAGTAACTTCCAAAGAAAAAGCATATTAGTGGAGTTATTGACTGCTGCAATTGGCCACAAATGATTGAACTTGAAATGAAGTCAACCAATTGGATAGAATTACAGTTCCCAAATTCTGTATTGATTATATAGCAACCTTATATTTAGAGCATTTATCAAATTATTTGGTGTAAACATGCAAAGCAACAATAACATCATTTCACTGATCTCTGACAAAATGCAATTACCTTCCAGATTTGTCTTGTCTAGGCAGATGCTAAACAAAATCCCTGCTTTGGAAGAGGGAGATATGATTAGTGGGAAGAAACTTGAATTAGGTCTACCCTCAGTTTGTCCAGTATGAACAAATCCATCTTGAAGATCAAGCCAAGCATCATAAATGGTCAGTGTAGCCTTTACTTCAGAGTGAAGTATCACCTAGAAGTCACACGAATCATTGTGTACTTTATCAAACAAAAAAGAACAAGTATAGAATTTTAGTGGTTAAATGTGTCCATGAGAAAATATTGTTACATTTTGTATAAATATATAAAAACCTTCAAACAAGTGGAAAGCTTTGGATGTTGTTACATTAACATGGACTTTTCATATGTTATTACCAATTGAATGTTGTAAATTGTAATAAATAAACCAACTATCCAGAAGCTTAAGCTGTTTGGGAAGGCACATGAATGGTTCTATATATAACATGTCCTCTCATGCAAGAAATCTTTGGACTTGAAACACGGACAATGCACAAGTCTACACTACCTTGAGTTAGATTTTTTTTTGTTAAAAGAATGCAGGATGGTTATAGAGGTTTTGATATCATGTCAAACCAATCATCCCAAGAAGTAACTTGTTAGGAGAATCACGCTGAATGGTTTATATCCTTTTTTTTAGAAGGCCAAGATTTATTACTACAGGTGAAAACCTGAATGGTTTATTATCTAACAAATGTCAACAATGATCTGATTAATTTTTTTAAGCATCTTACGACGAGCTGCAATTGTAATCATGTTAAAACACTGACCTTAAAGTACTATGATACTTGTCATGAATCAACCATTCCAAAAGCTTACGTTGTTTGGTAAAGGCACATGAATGGTTTTATAATAACAAATCTAACATACCATGTCATGCAAGATCCCTTTGGGATCGAAGTGAGGACAATGCACAGCCCCCTTACCTTGTGCTTAAATTCAACTTCTTGTTAGAAGAATGGGGGCAACAATAACGAATTCTAGACCAATTAGTCATAGAAGGTCTGACATCATGTCATTAACCAACTTTCTTATAAGCTCGAGTTGTTAGGTGAAGACTCAAGCATGTTATATTAACATTTAGCAATACTAAGATGCAAACAAAACTCAGTGCTAAAAGTACATTTCTTTCTTCTTTTTTTTCAATGATGGGTAAGTATATGAAAACTCCTTTTAAGATTTACAAATTCAATCAATCTTTTTCTCATTTCAGGTAGTGACTTCAAATGAAAAAATGGCAGTGGCTGTATTATTTCCAATTTTGGTACCAAAAGCAATGGAAGGGATTATATTTGATGCCTTGATTCCCTTGTTTTTTAATTCATGATAGCCGTATGTCAATTGTCCACAATCAAGTGTAATTAAATAATTATGAAAATAAAGTCCCATACCTGCAGAAGCAGGGTACCATCATTGCATTTATCAGTAACACGTGTCCTCACATAGAAAGGATATGTAAAATGCACTGCTAGGGTCCTGGTTATCAAGGTAAGAGATTATTAAGTCACCAGTGGCAAAGTATGCAAAAGTCATATGCATTGCATGTATAATTCAACAGCTGTATTATATTATGATGATTAAAACATAAGAATGATGGAAAAACCTTTCAAATATCTGATTGTGGAATGCTCCAAATTCAAGTTTCAGAGCTATTGTTCTCATTCCATCTACAATACTCTCTCTCCTTGTTGTGGCTGGAAAGAGAAACCAAATTAAATATTTAAATTTAAAAAGTACATGTATGGAGCAATCAAAACATGTGTCACCATCTTAACCTGAAGATGATCCTCTGCTGAGTGTGTCACTGATGGCACGAACCAGAACCCAAAGAATAGAAGGAATTTCACTTGCCCAATTTGGAAATTCTATTTTACCATCACGGAGAATCAAACGTTCAAATTTTTTATCAGAATTTAGAGTTCTTATTTGGGCATCATCATTCTGCACCTGATCACCATCATTCTCTGATACACCAGCAGAGCTTTCCATCTCAATTACGTGTGACTCTTTAATCTCCAACCCTGGACCAGTATCAATATGCAATACAGCAGCTTTGAGAGAGTAATTTACTGGCCGAACTAAAATGCCAACCCATTGGTCTTCATTTATCAACAAAGCAGATGAAACAGCAGCATCAAGATCAACAAGGGCTCTAGGTTTGAAAACCTAAAAAAAAGATAAATGGTATTGTTAGATAATTAAATCTAAAATCTTTTTTTTTTCTTTCTTTTTTGGTCGCTAAAAAAGATAAACAGCATTACTGAAAACAAATGACAGATTATAACTACCAGAAACCTATATAAAATCAATTTAAGTTCAAGTTATATAATGATCAGGAGGAAAATATAAAAGGAAAGAAGGAAAATAATATGAATAAAAAAAAGCTATCTTCTATTGAACTGTCACGTTCCATTTCTTTTTTCATCATGTTAGAAGTCTACCTTTAGAATGGGTTTAGCTGGCTTTTCATAACTCATAAAATCATCACTATCTGCAGGACCAACTTTTGAAAAACTATGAGATCTAAACCTCAACGGCCCAATTTGCCCAGTAAGAACCCCAAGAACATAAGATCCCGGTTTCTGAGGTGGTAGATCCAAGGTAATAGTATTTCGACCAGGGTGTAACACAATAGCAGTAGAACTCTTCAATGCCTGAAACAATTTAAATAAATAAGTTATTCAGAGAGTAAATAGTTGAAAACTATAAACTTCTCGTACTGTGGTTGAAATTAGTAAAATAACGCTCAACAACAAATACCTTTACACCTTCATCAGTATTATATGTTGCGTTTAATGTAAGACTGATTGAATCAAGAGTAATATCATCAGGAAAGCCACTCCATAAAGTTACAGAAAGGATACCGGGATCCTTATCACATAACGCCAATGGAGGCCCAGGATTTCCAGAAAATGTAATTAATGATGATACATCAAGAGGTACAGGGTCCTTCATTTCACTATGAGCAAGGCGAACAACTTCTGACTGAAAGGCTTGACGCTCCTTGGTCAAAAATAACCCTTCATCAAGAGAAAGTAACCTCACACAAGATAATAAGTAGCCAGCTTGATCATTAAGTATCTTCTGACACTCGGCTAAATTGGGAAGGACCTCAGCCAACAAATCCTGCCATCCTTCACCAGCATACAGAGCACAAACCTTCTCATATGACTTTGCAGCTTGATCAAAATGTCCATGCTTAAAAGCAACAGCTGCTATCTCACCATCAAGGACAACACCATGTCTTTTCCACCAGGAACGATGGTAATTATCAGCAGCACCTTTAGTTAAATCTAAATATTTTTGCTGCCCACGACATGAAACAGACAAGGAAATTAATCAAGTCCAAATAGAACTAATATTAACAAACATCTCTAGTCTTCAAGATGTATTCATTAGGGAAAAAATGTAAAACACAAAATAAGAAATGGATATAAATTATGAGAAACTCTCAATGAGGGATCCTAGAAAATCATCCCAATGAGTTTTTCCTATCCATTAGCCCAAGATGATACCTCAAACTCCTCAGATGATGATAATGACTTCCACAGTTCTGGATTGGAAATTGTTTGCTTCAAAGCATGCTCAGCAGCAATAAAAATTTCAGCAAGCCTCATCGGTCGGTCAATTGAACCCTCGAAGTTTCCTGGTGAAGAATTTGTACGTGACATGGAAGAACTTGCAAGTGCTTTACGCGGTGGTGACATTCTTGTGGATGAGTCGAAACCTGATCTGTCAGCATACAAATCAGATTGATAAAACCCAAATTGTAACAGAAAATATAGGATTTCTGAGCAGTTCACTGAAAAGAATCCATCCATAACAATATATAGCTTTTCATTACCCTTCCATTGGACCCTGGCGACTGTCAAACATTTCAGACATATTTCCAGCTGAAAGTGAAGCCCTCCGCCTGTTGGCCTCTCGTAGAAGAACAGTAGGTTCCAGAGGCAGAGGTTTCCTCTGGATACCAAAGGACTTGGTTCTAGAAGTTGTTTGGAGAATCAGCTGTGGATATATAATCACATTATTTAAGGTAAAAATATGATGGATAAAAATCTCAGCAAACAAGTAATAACATTTAAACATACATGTGCTCAACCCATTTCGTATATAAATTTCTTCTCTTATTATATTAAGTGAAATTATAATTCTATTAAAGTCTTAGATGCTTCTGTTAGACATCTAACATATTGTGAAAAAACCCAAAGTAGCGTGTATAAATAGGGAAAAATCTTCACTTTACAAACTGATTTTGTAGAGTTCAGTTATGACCAAACTCATGCTAAGATGGTATCAAAGCTTATTCTAGCAATTATTGTAGGACCTATTGGATTAGCAAATCATCCAATGATGTTTAATCCTACAAACTTCACTCTTGAGATGTCTAATCCTCGACGTAAGGGGGAGAAAGGTATTAGAGACCCCACAATGACTAGTGAGAAGGTCAAAGTAGTTTATATAAATGGGAGACAATCCTCACCTTACAAACCAATTTTGTAGGATTGAGTTGTCAGAGATGCTATATTGACTAGTGAGAAGATCAAAGTAGTGTATAATATATAAGTAGGAGGCAATCCTTACCTTACAAACTGATTTTGTTAAGTAGAGTTGTTAGAAATCCTACATTGACTAGTGAGAAGACCAAAGTAGTGAATATAAGTGGGGAATAACTCTCATCTTACAAACCAGCTTTATGAGATTGAATTAGACTCAAACTCACATTGTAAGAGCTCCTACATGGGAAAGGGAAAACGGGGGATTATAGACTGTAACAAACTTACATATGTGGCAACAAGTGTAGGAAGTATCACGAGTCTGAGTGGGATATAGGGTAAAAGAGAGGGTAGGAAATCATTTGAGTTGTTGCAAGTGGCTATTGCCATTGGGCAGAGAAGTTTTCCTTCTGTGATTTGTAATCAGCGCGCTGTCATTTAAATATTTTCTCTATTAAGCCACAGTAAATTTACTTCCTATCAGAAATATAAGCAATTTCTTCTACTTCTAATTAAGAAAATAAAAAATAGTTTTAATTTTTAACAAGGGAATAAAAGAAATGACAAGATGCCTCTCACGAAGAATAAGATAAAGTATTTTGTGAAAAAAGTGGAAATGAAACTGTTATATGAAAACATATCCATATGCTGTTATAAGGTGCCTTTGGCTGGTGCAAAATATATGGGCTTCTAGGGAGAAATCATTCAATTCCAATAACCTGTGAGTTGTGATATATTTCCCAAGCTCATGATCTTAAACAGATCTGTTGGTGAAAATTACTTTGTTCACTGATACACACCAGACAGACCAATTTAGTAAAAATATCATGACTGTCACAAATTACATTATATAACTAGTATTTTAACCTGTGCAATATACACGCTAAATATTTATTAAATATAACTAAAATTTATAAAAAATTATATATAAATAAATATTATATTTGAATATATAAATCATATTTAAAATTTGTATAAATAGATCTTTAAAATATATAAATTATATTTTAGAATTATGATAAATAATTTATATTATAGCATAATATTATTTTTATTTATCGATAATTTATTTTAAAATATTAAAATTTCATCCATAAGTAATTATGATAAATAAAAATGAAATAAGATAAGTTAAAAAATCCCTAAAAACGCTCTCACACAAGATAGAGATTCATGTGTAATATATAAAGGTTAATTTACATCATCTTTGATGTGAATATTCAACAGAATTTTATGTTGGCTATTGGCTGACTCACTACCCTCCTTTTTATAGGCTTGGAACGGGACTTGGGATAACTATATCTTCCATTGGCAGTAATTATTTTTGACATTGACTGAATTTTAACAGGTGGGGAAAGGCATTATAGTGACATAGTATGGAATGAACAAGTTTTTTTTTGTTAAAAATTAAAATATCTGTTGGGTCAGAAAATCTTCTCCGATGTCATATTTATAATTATGATTACAAGTTACCTTTTCTTTCTCAAGCACCTCTGTTGAAGCGTCGGCAGGAACTGTAGGCCATACAGCTGGCTTAGGCCAAGGTAGCAAGCTGAGGGAAGCACTGTTCAAAAATAAATAAACAGCTATTAAACAGGGAGAATGGTACCAACATTGGGGTAACTAATCTTGCATTACATGATTAATTAATGGAATACAAAATGATTAAATTAAGAAAATGCAAAAAGTTATTGGCCTTCTAATTACCAAACATGTACCTGTTGACAGGACTTCTTTCTATATCAGTTCCATACCCAATTAAATAGGCAAGCCTCATGAACTGCCAAAAACATAATATTCAGCAAGCAATTCCAGTTAACCATGATATGGCACACAATATCAATGTAGTCAGTAATCAACATGGCAGAGAAAAATGGGGAGGGAAAAAGGAAGGAAAAAAATGCCTTTGATTCAACTCCATTTCCAAATGGTGCATTAGTGCATCAAACCAAAATAGATATCCAAAATATTTACCAACTTCATGAGAATCCTACCTTAACTCTAGCTAGAGAATACAGGTCACCCAGAAGACGAAAAAACTCCTTCTCTATGTCAGGTGCCACAAGTTCATCTTTATAATTAGAAGTGGTTGCTTCAATTAAGGCCAAACAAGCAGTTGTTACCCAGACTTCACGCATACAAAAAGGCAGTATACGCTGAGAAGAAACATCATATTGAAGTCAAAATGGGACAAATGAAAAAAAAAATACAACTCAATGATATAGTAATATATACATGTGATGAAGAGAGCATATGAACTACAGAAAATCAAGTACCTCATGCAATGCCAACGATTTTGAGAAGCTTATTATGAATGAATAGCCTCGTGATGCAGCCTCGATGGGACGATTGAGCTTGAATAAGAGCTGCAAAATGGCAGTAAAGTAGTAAAATATAGGAAGTTAAATTAGTTATTCAGTTAAAAGCATGGCTTATTGCAATCATAGTGCTTGAACTCAAATTGTCAATCAGAACACATAGATACTCGTCAATTTTTAAGGTAAAAGCATCTCTAGATCGGTGACTAAAACTAAATAGATAAAACTTATGGACAAAAATTGGAACAGAACTTTAATCATTAAATGCTTTTATTGCAAGAAAAACCTCTTATCATAGATGAATATGAATGTTTTTCTTCTATTTCTCACCTAATATCTCTTTCATACAACAATCTTAGAATGTGGGTTTGAACCTAACTTAACATTATAAAAATAGCTTGTAAAGTGACGTTTGTCTCCCCACTTATAAACTCTTTGTTTGCTTTATCTTTAGTCGATGTGAGATTTGAATCTTAGAATGTGGGTTTGAACCTAACTCAACATTAAAAATAGCTTGTAAAGTGACGTTTGTCTCCCCACTTATAAACTATTTATTTAATAACAGAGATTTGTTCAATTACTAGATACTAGAATTAACTTCAGATGCATTTAAAGAAAGGCATTAAGGGGGATTTATTAGTATGTTCTTTGGATTGTGACACGGGAAATGATTATACCACATTTGAAACAATAACTACAACACACAACCAAATGCACACAAAATCAGAGCTTTCTACAAAAGATGGTGCAAGCTATCTTGTCTTGATATTTATTTAAAGCACTTGAACAATCAAACACCAAGAGTTACAATGATTATACAAAAGCTATCAATGTACACATACTGACACATGAGAGAGACAATGAGGGAATTATAATATAATAATAATAAATAAAAACAGATGGCTTTCAAAGGCATATTACTTTATGACTATAAAATTTTTGTGTGTTTTCAAGCATATTATTTTATATTTATTTTAATTGAATGCAAGAGGTAAAATTCAGGCTGGTCTGTAAAATGCATCTTAATTCATCATAAGTAATACAAATAAAAAAGAAGCCAAGCTTATAAACATCAAAGAAGACACAAAAGACAAAATCAATCTAAATTTGCTTCACAACTAAGCTGCCAATATATGTTAACATGTCTTGCGTTACACAAGTGCTCCGAGTAGACAAACCTTTGATTGACAGGCAAATAGATACTGTCTGAATTCAAATTCCCTAAATGAGTCCTCTTGAACAATCTGTGTCAATGCTTTATTTCCTGGATTAACCAATGCTGCCTGGTCGTCACCATGATCTGCCCCTCCAAAGTCTCTCTGCTTTCCAGTCACGTTAACTGCATTAATCCCAGTTATATTTGAATCAATTTTCATTGTTCACAAGAGATTTTCTGTCCAACACAATATTTAATGTTCCATAAAGGTGTTTAAAGCACAATATTGTCAATTTAAATGTCATCTTTACTTGACTACAACATCAACAGAGAAGGAAACTAAGCATCATGCACCTGTTTCAAGATAGCAGAGTTCTAGTTCGTCATATTCCCGTAAGGCATCTTCATGAAGGTGAGCCATTTCAAACATAAAAGCCAAGCTTTCCTGAGCACAGAATACAAATTTGTTAAAAGACTCCAAAAGCTCCTAGAATGAGCAGAAAGGAAAAATTTTGGAACAACAAAAGTTGGACTTTCAGAACCATCTATTGCACTTGTAAGTTTATAGCTCATCAAAACAGGATCAACCTTAAGAATAAAAAAATTGCAGAAGTTCCAGACTGGCATGAGTCGCTGTTCACTGAGCTTTCGTATCTCATCCTCATAGAATTGTACACGCCTATCCAGGGTATTTCTGATGCATTCCATTATCTTTGATTCTAGATCCTCCCAAAAGTTTGCTTCAGGGAGATGCATATCATATTTGCAGCATCTAGATGAGGAAGAAGCAGTGTTAAAAAGCATAAAAAAAAGGAAGGAGATTAAGTTTTGGCATTAATGCAAGAAAACTAAACATTAAACAACCTACACTTGAATAACCAATCTTTTATTTCTCTCATAAAAGGTTACTATTTCTGTTTGGTAACTATCACTGTGTTTTTTCCTAATTCTACCATCAAAATTCTCAACCACTCACATCTGTAATGTAAACAGTTGATTCCATAATAATTTATGGAAGTAAAAAAGACACAGTATTGGAAAAATAATCCTATTGAAAGCAACTATAAGATTGACCCTTAAAGCTATATTTCCAAGCACCATTGTCACTTTTTATATTGTTACATCATGTTTATGATAAGAAAAATAGTTGTTAAGATTCCTTCAAGTTGACCAAATGCTGTAATATCCATGAAAAAGTTGGCAAAACGTTGACTTGAAAAAGACGATTAGCAAACTATAAACCAACAAGTCATTCAAAATTTTCAAGTTTACCTTTCTCTTTTTTTGGTGTTAAACTCAACTTCAAGTTTAGCATATACTTTCTTCGCCATTTTGCTTGCTTGATCATTAGCTGGATGAGCTTTAGATACAAATACAACAAACCACTCCCTTTCATCATTTTGGACAATCAATTTCAAGCGTGGTTTAAGGATGGTTTTGAACTCATCCAGATCCTGGGAAGAAAAAAATAAGAGTTAAACTACACAATAGATCCACAACTGAATCAAAAAGTGAACGGATTATACGCCAAAAATAATTAAATGAAACAATTTTAAAACCTAATAATTGATAGTTCAGATCCACACCCCCCCCCCCCAAAAAAAAAAAAAAAAAACTCTGAAGTATGACCAAAACATGATAAAAGGATTATTGATTAACTTCATGAAATAAAGCTCCTTATAATGGACTTTTGGCATTAGATTACCTATAATTACTTTTCACAAGTGGCAAGAAAACTAGCCATACTTCAGGCAAATTCAACATAACCAACAGCATTTAAAATGCAATCTTCGTGCCAACAAAAATTACAAATGGTGAGTGAGAAAAACATGCAGAAGCAAACCAAGTCAAATGAAATCCAATGAATTAAAATGGATTCATGTTCATGATAGCTACTATCATGGCTCTGAAGACTGCAAAATGTAAATAAATAAATATAAAGAAGGTTGTCATGGGGCTAGTAATCATTAAAGCTAAAGTTGTCTGGTGCAAATCCAAAACTGAGCTTTTTTCCCTAATAAGCCACTTCATTGAAGCTATGACAAAGCTAGTAAGCTACACACACCATTACGTTGAGCTAAAGCAATACAGTTATATGAGTGGATCAGCTAGGATCAAATTTCAGCTCCCCTAATTAAAAAGGCTGCATACCATGTAAAAAACCCATCATCCTAAAAGCTGAAAAGTTAAGTGCAAGCCCAAGAATGTGTCTAAACAGACTATTATATATGGTGAGAGAAAGTACCACTCTAAGTAATTGATGTTAACAAATGCACTCCAATTATATGTAATTCACTGAACCAATAACAAATTAACAATCTTTCTTTCGGCTTGCTAACAATTGAATCAATATGATTTGCATGTTATTTACCTGATACTTATGTTTTTGTCCTCCCATTCATTTGCACAAAACATGGCATCACTAAAGAAGTATTCGAGTAAATAGCTTATTTAAGCAATACGATAAGAGCTTGTCACACGAAGGCTTATTCATAAGCTTTCTTATGAAGCTTATCGAAATGAGCTAAATAGAGCTTATAGTAAGGTCATAAGCCATTTTCATAAGACCAAATAAGCTCTGCAATAGCTCTTCCAAACATTGCCCAAGTTATGCATCAAAACATCCATATGAAGTGAATGAATTGCAATGTAAAAGAAAGCTGCAAAGTGTGATAAAAATCATAGTGGTTCTTTCTCAACTAACTCGAGATGGTTCTTAAAACATTACAACTTTCCAGTAGATTCTAACTTTCCAGTAAATTCCAAATAATATAATAAACAGAAATTCACATTACCTCACAGGTGACAAGTACAATATTGGCATACGGCTCCCGGAACCAAAACAAAAACTGCTCGTGAGGGAACCGGCTACGGAGTCTTGAATCTGTAGTTAATATAAACTCAGCAGGCAATGCCTCAACAAAGACAGGGTTCCGCGTCTTGTTATTCAAAGTCGCTCTTTTGAACGGCAAACGCGCCTCAAATGCAGGCTTGACAGTTGGCCAAATGTCACTCACATCCTCCACTGAGAATCATTTTGATGAAGCATCAATATAAGGTCATACACACACACATCTAGATCAATGATAGCCTACATCTACTGTTGATTACTGTTTCTGCTTCTATTGCGAGGAGTCACAACAGTTGAGATTATTCTTGCAGTTGCCAATGCAATGGACCTCTCTTAACTTTGCCTTAAAATGATCACCACAATACATTGAAATTGAAGTGTTACTGAGCTTAATTGTTAGGATTCCGTTTCATTGCGACGATTTATATCAACAATTATTGACAACACTGTAAATTGCTGTGGAACGCAACTAAAAGCCCTACACGGCGATTTAAAATCCATACGAAGTTAATTTAAAATGAAAAACGGAACGAAACGGAGCATTTGTATGTGATTGTGAATTTAGACAATGCTAGAAAGGTAGAAAGCGAAGGACGGCGTTTGGATCTTCGGTTAGAGAGCGATGAGATGAAAATAGTAATGGAAATACCTGAAATGACGAGGCGATCGGAGGTGTTCTTAATTGTCTGGAACTGAGCGAGGAAGTTGGCCATGCTGGATCTGAAGAATCAGCAGAGATCCATGGAAGCGAAAGAGAGAGAAGAGAAGGAAGTGGTGTGCAGTGAGTGAGTGTTGAGTTCGAGTATCGAGTTCAGAGAGGTTACGGCCCGCAGATCTAGTGCTTCGCGGTGTACACGATCACCGTTTCGCACATTTCATCAGGCCGTTGCCTCAGCCGTCATGTCTCTTTAGTTCTTTTCCTAACAAAAATGTTAACTGCACTTTGCTTCCCGTTCCCAGGATAACAGGGGTAAAATTGTACATTTATTTCAAATTTTTTTAAATATTAAATTTAGCAATTAAACCTTTAAAATATGTGATATCATGTTGAATGTTATGTATACTTAACTTCAAATTATTTTAACATTTATGCATATATAATTTACAAAAGATAAGTTATGTGTATCTCAATAGTCTATAATAGGAATTAATTTAGTCCAGCAGATATTTTTAATTTTAGTATACAAACTTTATCGTGAGACAGATGTGAATTCTTTAATATGGAGTTCGATTCCGACAAAGAAAAAGTAAAATATTCTTTAGTTTTTATTTTAATATAAATTTTTAGATGATTTATAATCTTATGTTGCAAATAACCCTCTTTTAAAATAGTCATTTTCAATATTTTTTTTATTTAATTGTATTTTGATCTCAATAATATATCTATCTATATCTATCTATATATATATATATTAATGTTAATCTCTCTTTTTTTTAATTGTGTGAATTTAATTTTGTAATATTTTAAATTAAGCACTTATAATTCATCCATTAGTTTTATTAGTTATCTTTGACATAACTTCTTGACTGTGACATGGTGTGTCCACTTTAATATAGATTAGTGTTGTAAAACTCTTAAATGCACTTTTTGGTTCCTTATTATTTATAATTCGTGTTTTTTTTATACAAAATGTAAATTAATGATAAAAAAAACTATCTAATTATATTCAAATCATACCCCAAAGAAGTATGTGTGTGTTCGAAGGCTTACTCCACTCTTTATACCAATTTGCATTAGCATATCCTCATTGTGTCAATTCGTTAGCAGCTTTGTTAGCATCATGGTGCTGGTGAATATGAGTTAGAGAGCTTATCTAATTTTTATCCAACATATTTTTTTTATTTCCATAAATAACTCCTCTATGAAGGTGTAATAAGATCATTACCATCAACTATGGAGATTACTAGTGTAAAAATTAGATTTAAAATCGGAGTTTTAAGATCGGTTACCAGGTAACCGATCTTAAAAGTGACGCGATGACAATTTTGTAAATAATATGAACACTTTTAAGATCGGTTCAAATTTAACCGATCTTAAAAGTACTTTTAAGATCGGTTTTTTTGTAACCGATCTTACTACTTTTAAAATCGTTTATTGCATAATCGGTTTTTTGTTTAGTATACAAAATCGTTTGTTAAATAATCTATTTTAAAAGTATCGTCAGAAACCTTTTATATTTCCCTCTAATCTCATTCTCTTTAACCTTTCCCTCCATTCATTTTTTTAATCTCGCACGCTCTCATTTTCTAAAGAGATAAATTTCGTTGTCGTTTTCGTTTTCGTTTTCATTTTCCTCTTCTTGTATCTCTTTTCATTTTCTCATGCTCTTCTCTTCTCTCTATTTTCGTTATACGTTCATTTTGGGTAAATTTTGAATCTGGAACGACCCGTTCTGCAAGGAGTGCGGGTCGTACTGCGTGGAGAATGGCCTGTTCTCCTTTCAGTACGAGTCGTACTGCATGGAGAACGGGTCGTTCTGATTTACGTTCTTCAATTAGTCCTTTTCACAATCTGGAACGGTCCGTTCCAGTTTAATATTTTTTTCTTAGCCCGCACTTTTAAGATCGGTTATAAAACAACCGATCTTAAAAGTTTACTTTTAAAATCGATTATTTAACCGATTTTAAAAGTCTAATTTTTAAAATCAGCTCTTTTAAAATCGGTTACAGAACCAATTTTAAAAGTTAAAAATAACCGATTTTAAAAGCTTTTTTTCCACTAGTATCACGTAGTTCTTGAATTAAATTAAACAAGCTAATTATTGAATTGAGTTTTGAACTATTTTCAAGTTAATTCAATTTATTGTTACTCCTAACAATGAATAAGAGATAGATAGATTATTCAATCTTTATCCAATATGTTTTTATTTCTATAAAAAAATTTCGTATGAAAGTGTAATAAGACCATCACACCATACCAATTTTGGAGAAGATTTAAAATTTCCACATAGTTAAACTCTCACAAAATGTAACATTGTATTATGAGTTGTTTGTTTATTTTAAATTTCAACATTTAATAAAATTATGTTGATGTGATGTTTTGATATTTTAGAACTCTACAAATTTAGGGATTTTTAAGAGTTTAGTTATATGAAATTATTTTGTGTTGAGGTCAAATTTAGAAAGTAATTGAAAGACTAATTTCACATAGGCTTAGTTGATGCGTATTAATGTCGTGGTAGACATACACCTAAGTTGTTTTTATTTCTAATAGTGGTGTTAGACTTTCTTAGTCTAAATAACAACATCCAAGAAATCAATAAAGTTGTTGACTAGGAATTGAATATACCAAATATTGTATTGACATGACATTGGTATGTCAAACATTGTGTTGACTTGATCTCCCATTTTGGGATCAAATGTTATGATTTGGGAGGGTCAAACCACATAAATTGCTTACCTGTATTAAAAAAGATTTCTTAGTTCAAATGTGTGACGACGTATAAAGATGTTATGTTGATAAGTTGTTGTATTGTTAAGTTGTTATGTTGATAAGTTGTATAACGTGTTGCTATGTTGTCAAGTAATAAAATTGTTGAAAATTGTATACATTGTTGAATGTTGTGTTGAAAGTTGTGTGACAAAGTTATTTAGTTGTAAAGATGTTTGTATAGTTAGTTGTTAGCTTCTATATTATATGATGTTTTCTTTGCATGCAAGTTTACCCTTACTTTTTCATGTTGGATTGTAATGATCATATTATTGTAGGAATAAGGTAGGATTAGACCAAAGGACGAGCATGATGTTGTGTCATGTTAGTCATGACATGTTTTGGTTGAGACTATTTTCCTACAACTAGTTATTGCTTGACTAACAACTAAGGTCTTTTATACTTTGTAGTTCTAATATTTGTGTGTTTGTATACAAGATAGTGTTATAATCCCACTAAGGGATTTTATGTTTTTAGTTGTTTATTCCTTACATATATATTGTTGCATAAATATTCATGTACTTATCACATGAAAATCCTAAGTTAGATGATAATATGTTTTATGCTATTTAATTGTTGAGTTGTAATAAGTGAAAAGACTTGTTGGATTGTTACACAAAAGGTCACAAAACCCTTCATTCCAATAAAGTTAAAGACCAACATAAATAACTTATGGTTCAACCCATATATGGTCTCTAATACCCACAACTATGGAGAAGCCATAAATCCATCTTCATACTTCATCATAGACAACACCTCCAAATCCCATGCACCTAGACGAAGTGATAAAGTTATAAAATAGTGGTAAAAAATGTCATTAGGCCAAATAAAGTTATATTCATCATAAGGAGTTATTGGAATAAGAATATTTTCAATTTTGTGAATGTATTCTTGCAAAAAGGGAGTACAAATAATGTTCATGTTCCATGTACTATCATGTCAAAGGTTAGATACACAAAGATGATTATTTGAAATGTGCACATGAATGTCCTTGACCTAACTAGTCCTTATAGAAGAAAGATGAGACTCTTGATCTTAACTTTGTAGTAAAGTCATGTTTAAGAATATGTATTGTCTTTTGGATGCTTTGCCATGTAAAGGAAGCTCCAATTACAAGGACATTTGAGAGTACTAAGCTATCCTGATACCCAATGAGGGTGTTCATAGATTGGATTTTTTAAAAAATTTAAATTGAATTGAACCAATCCATTTTATAAAAGTGGATTGGTTAACCAATCTATTAAAATATTTTTTTTTATAAAATGGATCGATTTATTTTTTAAAAAAATAGATCAATTTTTTTTTAAAATTGGATTGGTCCAGTATAATTATCTATTTTATACTCATATATAAATTGATTTTAAAAAAAATCAACCAAACTCAACTGATCTACTTTATAAAAATAGATAAAGTAACTAAATTTATTTACAAATTAGATTGATTCAGATTTTTTAAAAATATATTTAATTTTTTAATATGGATTAAATCGATCATAAATTAATTTAGTTCGGTTTAAATTTTTTAAACACTTGTAATACCCAAAGTATTATTTCTCAAATCTACCTTTAGGCCTTTCGAGTAGGTTAACTTGGATTTTTGAGCATTAAGTCCTCATACATGAAGCTTCACAAAATTGGTTCAAGGCGTTCTTAATAACTTCCACTTGTTCATTGGATGCCTTGCAGAACACCGATATTACAGCTCCAAATAGAATATGAGAAAGAGAGGGAACTCCATGAGATAGATTAATTGATAGAATTCCATATTTCATTTTTAACAAGTTCATGAAATTCCAAAAATGTAAGAGAATAGGGGTTTCCTTGTCTCATGCCCTAATAGGAGAAATTTTTTTTAACTTAAACATGTTCCATAACAATAACAGGATAGAACCCGTTACCACCCACATGATGAATCTAATGATGTTGGGAGGAAAACCAAAAAGTTCAAAAGTCTCTTTAAAAAATTACCAACTAAATCTATCATACATCTTTTCTAATTAAATCTTGAGAGACAAAAGTTAAATATGCAAACTTTCATAAACCAGCTAAATAAATTTATCTTTTCAACCAAAAAATAGTTTTTATTTTTGATCAATTGGAATAAGTGGTTGGACGACATGAAAACTTCTTGATAACTACTCCAGTCCTTTTTTCTCCCTTTGGACCACAATAGGTAGATGAAAACTTCAACTAGCAATTATTTGTCTGCTATTTTTGTTGCAAATATTTTATTTTAAACACCAAACAAAAATATCTATTGCATATTTAGCTACAACCCTAACATTTTTAATGGCTTGTATTAAAATTGGTCAACAAAATGTGTTAAAATGAGCTTATCTTATCCATGATAGAAACATGATCATTTGTTTGGACGTGCATGTGTATTAACTATTAAGCATTAAGCAAGACGCTTCGATTGTACTCCACGTGAACACGTAGGCTCAAGCCTGTGGATCTGGAACACTCACGGACTCTTTGTGGCCCATTAACAATGGACTAAGAGGCCCACATGGTTGGGTCCTCGCTGGACTAGAGAGATTCTGATGAATCCAGATTCTACTATCGAATGAAAACAAGAGATAAGAGAAAATATTTATTTATTATTATTATTATTATTATTATTATTTTTACTAGAAAATAACTTTTCATCCTCACACATTTTGTGTTATCCAAAGGATCCACGCATTTCATGTGGACACTGTTCCACGTTCTCCCTGAATCACTAGAGCATCTTAATACTACAGCATCATCCTTTTCTCGCATTGTCTCTGAAGCCACACACGCAGCCGCGACACACCGTATCACCAAACGACGACAAACGCGCGCGTTTCGCAGCTCCCGAACTCGGAGAAGCAAACGCAGCGGCGTGACTCGTACGTAACTCGCAACTCGCGGCGATGGCTTCGCTCCACAGCACCGTCGCTCCACGCACCTTCTTGCCGTCCATTGCCAAGCCCAAGCCCAAGCCCAAGCCTGATGCTACTCATGCTAAATTTCCGGCGGCGAGATTTTCACGGAACCGCGTTTTCTCGGGAAGCAAACGCGCGGTGGCGGCGAACTCGGCGGCGGAGGAGTTCGACGTGATATCGGTGCAGAGCGGCGACATTACCGACCAGCAGGAGGGCGTGGTGGTGAGCCGCGTCGATATGGAAGGCGGAGACGGCGAATTGGCGACGCAGGTGAGCGGATTCGGAGCGAACGAAGGATTGTTGTCGTTGGAAGGTTTTTCTTCTTCTTCTTCGGCGTCTTCTTCTGCGTTGGTTGGGAGCGAGAGCGAGGAGGATATGGAGAAGCTAATTGATAGAACTATCAACGCTACGATTGTGCTCGCCGCTGGTACTTTCGCCATCACCAAACTTGTCACTATTGATAGTGATTACTGGCATGTAAGTGGAAAACGCTGAACTAATATCAATGCCTTATCTTCAATTTAATGTGTATTATTCAAAGATATAAGAATTGTTTGTTTATTATTTTTTTACTTCAAAGTTATTTGTTAGAAAATAAATTAGTTATTTCTTGTTAGACAAAAGCACTTCCAAAGAAAATATGAAGAAAAATGGCTTAATCTTTTTCATAAGTTAAAATCATCTAAAATGAACTTATAATAAACTAATTTGTTGAAGCGAATTAACGTATGAATAAGTTAATTTTAACTTATGAAGATAATTTGAATTTTTCTTCTATAAGAAATGTTTTTGAATTCTATAAGAAGTGTTTTGAAAAAGTTTATCTATGCAGACACTTAATATGAACAAGCAATTCTTGCTAATTCAGATAAAGGCTATATGTGGATATATTCTTCCATAAGTCCTTATAGAAGAGGAAAATAAGAAATGAAAATGAATTGAACTTCTTCCAGAGGCTAAAATCAACTTTTGTACATTCTATGATATTTAAGTGCATAATTTGATTTTAGCTCATGAGAAAAGCTTAATTCATTTTTACTTTGTTAGGCTCTATTTCGGAAAACTTCAACACTTAAGAGATAAGAAAATAAGAAGTTAAAATGAAATAATTTTTTTTCATAATTTAAAATTAACTAGTGCATGAGTTAAAATTAGTATTTTTTTTTTGGAATATCTTATCTTATTCAGCTTCTCTAAAGTTGATTCTAACTTAATGCAAAATCAATTTTAACTTGTTTGATAAACTTATTTCATTCTTTCTTCTCTTATAAATGGTCATGGAAAAGTTTGTTCAGACATGGCCTTATTTTCTTTTACTATAAGTGTTTATGGACAATTTTATCCAAACTAGGCCTAACTTGGTACTCTGGTCGAAATTTGTTTATTCATTTTTTATGTTTGAGGTTTCCCTTATTTGATATGGCTTGTTATTTTTGATACCATATAGGGATGGACGCTATTTGAGATACTCAGATATGCGCCTCAGCACAACTGGTCTGCTTATGAGGAAGCTCTCAAGACAAATCCGGTTCTTGCCAAGATGATGATTAGTGGGATTGTTTACTCTCTTGGGGACTGGATTGCACAGGTGAGTTTCTGTGTAATTCATGTACAGTTTACTTCAATCTAGTGAAAGAAGCAAGGTTTATATTTTATAATGCCTTGTGGTTTAACACTTTAACTGGTTTTGCAGTGCTTTGAAGGAAAACCCCTGTTTGAGTTTGACCGTGCACGGATGCTCAGATCTGGGCTTGCTGGTTTTACTCTTCATGGTTCTCTTTCTCATTACTATTATCAGTTCTGCGAGGTAGAGCGTAATGATAATGTTCTTTTTCTTGTTCCGTTTGGTTCTTGAAATTTCTGTGTTGATGTAGTAAGCGGTTTTTCATTTAACCAGGAGCTATTTCCTTACGAAGAATGGTGGGTAGTTCCTGCTAAAGTTGCCTTCGATCAGACTGTATGGTCAGCAATTTGGAACAGCATTTATTATACGGTTGTTGCAGTTCTGCGTTTTGATCCTCCAATCGCTATTTTTAATGAATGGAAGGCAACGTTTTTTCCCATGCTGACGGTAAGAGAACCATCTGGTTTTTCCTATTTCATGTGTTGTGTTGAAACAGTTTTTTCCTTTGAGAAAACCTAGAACATGGACATACCATTTTGGTGTAGTGTACCACATACAGACTTTGTGTTTCTGACATGCGTCATTATGTGTCCAATTTATTTACCTATTTGGCTCAGACATGGAACGGATGTGGCTATTTGCAATTTTAATGTTTTTTTATATTTTTCTTACACAGGCGGGTTGGAAACTATGGCCATTTGCCCATCTCATTACTTATGGAGTGATACCAGTTGAGCAAAGACTTCTCTGGGTGGATACCATAGAGCTTATTTGGGTGACCATACTATCCACGTATGTCGATCTGGATTTATTTTGAATTGCTGCGTATTAGAATTTGAACATTTATAACTTCATACAATGCTTCGAGAATCGGGATGAAGTTTGATCATATTAAAATGGACTTTTACTTTTCCATTTGCTTTTGAGTTTTGAGAGATGAACTCTATATAAAGTTTCTCTAGGAGAAATTATATAATGAAAAAGCAAAACTGGTGGAGGTTAAAGTGTACTACAGTACAACCTGCCTACTGTACATGGTTCTCCTTGAAAATAGATCAGATGGCTCTAATGTTAATTAGCAAATATTACTCGGGCGATGATTAATTTAAGCAGTCTAAAACAGTCAAACATTTCCAGCTTTTATTATTCATGTGAAAGTTTTGCATTGATTCTGACGTAGGCTTTTGTGATCAATAGATTTTCAAATGAAAAATCAGAAGCAAGAAACTCAGAGTCTATAGTGCCGACAGAAGTGAAATCCACCACATCTGCTCATCCTCCCGAGGTACATGATAAATTAATAATTATTACGTAAGCATATTTAATAAATTTTGCAAAAAGAAATACATATTTTTATGGCTTGTGGACATTTTTAAAATCTTCTCTTGCGTTTTATCAGGAGTAAAGGTAGAGATATGACCAGAAGCAGTGGCAGAAAAAGGGCTTTGCTCAGTCAGATTTTGTCCTTGATAAAGGGCATAGATTTATAATGTGGAATATGAAAAAGCTAATTGTATACGTGTATATGTTGCATCCCTCGGAATCTCATGTATGTTAGGTAACATCAACTTTCCTATAAGTATATAATTGTTGATGATTTTTATGAGTATATAATTTTCGTTCAAACTTTCCTTCCCCTAATTGTAATTGTATGTATTAAAGCCTTGTCAAGATGGAATTCACTCCGTCATGTAATGTTTGAAACATGTATATATGAAAAAGCTAGGTTGTGGGTTGGCTTTTGGCGGGATTAATATTCATGTCTTCAATTCATGGATAATAATGTTTTGGGTTGCTCTGGTCTTCTAGGCATATGAATTCTTATGTCTTCCCGATGCAGCTGGATGAATGACTTCCCATAAATAATGGTAATTGCTCTATTCTTTAAGCGAAAGAAACTGTTGTGCCTTGTGACGGTGAAAACTCTGGTAAGCTATTTTAGCGGTTGAAGACCTTATGGTTATGTCTTCAAATCACTCTTTCCTATACGAACAGTGAAGATATTTGATGTATGATAGTGGTGGGTTATAGACTCAGCGGTGTACCATTAGTGGGGAATCCTCAGTTAATGTGAGGCTAGAGTGCACCGATATCATGTGGTGTGTGGATTCATTAACACAGGAAAATGTCATAATGTCATATTTTGATCTAGGTCAGTTTGAAGAACTGGATTTATTTAGTTTTGTGTAATCATGTGGCTGGTAGCCTTCACCGTGTTGGCCCTTCACTCTTGCTATTGCTATCTGTTAATCAGATCACTTATTCATGTTTTTGTCCTTCTTAACCATAAAATTGTATAAAAAATGATTTTGTCTGGTGTGATTTCAAATCTTTTAATTTTTTTGTTGTTGTTAATTTTAATGGAAGTAAATTTTAGAAATTTGGAAATGGTCGTAGTGGTGAAGTATCATGTATTTAGTCATGCAACCTCATTGACCATTTGAAGCCGCATAGTTGTTTGCAATTGTTGGTTATGAATGGAGATTGTGACATAACAATTAATACACAATTAATACATTGAATTATGATACTTTCTGATTCAGAATTATCAGAAATTTGGGACTATTGAAATTTTTTTATTATTAGATGGCAATTTATGCTCCTAGCTTTATAATGGTAGTAGACAATACAATATGGTGATTATTTTTTGTATGGACTACGTTAGATTTTATTTAGGTGACTTTATATTTTGTAATGGGTTGTGGTACTTTTTATACTTTCCATAATTTAATTTTTGCTTATAAATTTTTTTTAATACATTGAAAAAAAAATATAAATTTTAAATTCAACATCGAACAAGTAATTAATGTTTTTAATTTTTTTTTCATCCATGCCAGTAATTAACATAATAATATTATTTGATTTATTATCTTATTGAATATAATTAAAGTTTATTTCGTCCTTATTTTATCCTATTCTCATATTATATTTTATATCACATCTTATCTTAACAACCAAACAAATTTTTAAGTTTCCAAACAAATTTTAAGTTTCTTAACATCTGATCGCACATTTAATTAATATTGAATAAAATATGCTTTTAGCTCTTTAAAACAAATTTTAAATCTGATTTTAATCCTCTTAGAAATTTGTGTACTATGTTGATCTCTTTAATTTGAAAATGTCTTGCCTTTCATCTTCAAAGTGATTTGAGAACCGTACATTTTTAAATTAGTGAAATTAAAATAAGGATTTTTTTAAAGACTAAAACTAAATTTGGAATTTTTTTAAGGGAACACAAATGTGTATTTTACCCTTTAACTAGTATTTTTAGTTTTTATAATGCACATGCAAAATATTTATTATATATAACTAAAATTTATGATAAATTATATATATAAATAAATATTATGTTTGAATATATAATTATATTAAATTTTTATAAATAAATATTATTTTAAAATATTAAGATTTAATTTGTAAATAGTTATGATAAATAAAAATTAAATTAAATAAAAAGTTAAAAATTCTTTTGTTGAAAAAAGTTTCTAAAAACTCTTATGTGAGATAAAAATTGGTATTTAATATATAGAAGTTGACAAATATTATTTTAAAATATGAACATTTAACTTAAAAATAACCATGATAAATAAAAATCAACTTAGATAAGATAAAAGAATTCCTAAAAATCTTGTAGTTGCAGAGAAATTCTTTGAAATATTTTTGCACAATATAGAAATTTATATTTAATATATAAGGGTTATTTTTAACAATTTTTTCTCATTTAACAAATACATACTAAATGCTAACCTAGTCAAATAATATTATTTTTAATTCACGAATGTCTTTTACTGGAGTGAAGATAATCTCATAACATTTGAGTTGGATAAGATTATTATATGTAATATAATCATTTATTTGATTATTCAACGCAATTGTACGTTTAAAATTTAAATTTAAAATTACTTATTACATTGAAACAACATCATGTGACTCAACCATGTATCTGTTAAAATGTTTGATAATTAAGATTAAATAAAACTACAACGGTCAAATTATAATATCACGTTAAAATTGATATTAATTAGATTTAAAAATGTGTAATTAATAAATTAATTGTTTTAAATTTAAATTTAAATTAAAAATAATTTTATAAATAAATTAATTTTTTAAAATATCTCAAAATGTACAGTAATATTTTAATTAATAAAACAAAATTCAAAGGAGGCGCATTGCCGTATTTGCCACAATCAAATCACATATACACCAAAAATGGTTAAATCATATAATAAGGTCAAACTCTAAATTACATCAAAGTTTTGGTGATCGTAATTTATTATTTTCTTTCTGACAGAATAGTGATGACCCTAACTTCCGGTTCAAATTCAAAATAATGATCAAGTAAATTTCTTTTCAAAATAATGACGTTAGATTCAAGCCTTTAATATTATAGATAAAATTTGAACCAAAATAGTGGAAATACAATTTTTTTTTTTTACTAATTACTAGAGCTATAGAAATACTAATTTACTTCTAAAATAGGTTGATTGGTGCCTATGGAAGGAAATTAAATATCACTTCTAAAAAATAAAACTAAAAATCATTCGCCAAATTAAATGAGATTTTATTTTGGGGACTGCAACAGCAACGGTGCCACTATGATGCACATTTCGCGGGTTATTCTGGTTTAAAATATTGGTTCGATATTGCTTTGCAATTAGTATTTAGTAAGAAAAGTGGGTTTGGCTCTTTGAATTGAACAAGTGGGTTGTTAGTGATGGTCCTCTAATTCTGAATTCATATGGTTCTGCTACAATGATGCAATAAAGATTTATTTTTAAACTTGTATTTTGGTTATTTGACATGATCTTTTCATGTCTTTGGGTTTGATTTGACTTTTGAGTATCCTTCTAGTTAGTTTAGCTTGAAAAAAAAATTATTTATAGAAAATTGTAATTTTCTTATTTAATAATTTTTTTTAATTTATAAACATAATTTATATAGTGAAATTCATAATTATTTGTGTTGGTCAAACATTATTTTAATACAGATAAAAATTTAACTAAAAAATATCATATCAATCTCCATGTCCTATAATATACCTTACAGTCATTAAATTAAAAGATTTGATTTCTTATTTGATGTCTATTTTTATTTTATATCAAAATACATAATAATACAAAATAAGAGAGTTGAATATAAAATGATACAAAATCATGTTATCAGTTACGACATATTAAAAAAAAAATTGTAATTACTGAAAATGGTGGAAAATGTGTCTTTTAGTAAGCATAAACTATGGACTAATTTTAAAAAAAAAAACTAAGGACTATTTTTGAATTTAAATTTATATCTTTTTAGTTGATATGTGTAAGATTTTAAGAAAAATAATTTAAAACTCTTAAAAGAAAAATTATTAATTTCCAATTTTATAAAATTTAAATTTTAAAAAGAATTTTATAATTATTATTTAGTAACGTGACATACATCGAACATGTTATCTTAGCTAACGTGATGCAGTGAAATGTATTATAAGTCAATAGTTACCATTAAGTGGATATAGTATTGTTCTTATCGGAGATCGGTTGAGAGGGACGATCTGCTGGGCAAGATTGGTGAGCCTTCTTTGCTAGGTATGTCGGCTGCTCTGAAATGGGGGTGGTACCTGCAAAAAAGACTCCGATGCTAAAGTTAGTTTTTAGTCGTATGAGTGTCTCATATATATAGTGCACGTACCTTGATGTGGAATTAGGGTTTTCTCTTGGGCGAGGATAAGATTGATCTGGGCTTGAGATTGGCCGTGGCCAATAGGCATTGGGCCTTTGCTTTGGTCGATGTCTTGTAGCACTTATTCGATGTTGTGCGGTGCTTAGCACTGAGCTTGAGCTTGGTACTTGGCGCGGATAGTATACTAGCCCCCCGAGCTCTGAGGACCTCGAGTTGAAGAGTTAATTGTCGAGTATGTGGGGGGTCGTGACCTTTCATCTCTACTTCTTGGGTGAAGTGCCGCGTGTCACGAGTTGTTGCCTTGTTTCTCAAACGCAAGGGCGACTTGCAATGAAGAGTGGCAGCTTATAATGATGGGATGCACCTTGTCATTATGAGCCATATTAAATGTGTTCTCCCTTTTATCGTTTTCTTTATTCGTTTGAAATACCCGTTACTCTTCTCATTTCTCGCGTTTGCTTTCTTCCTCAGTTTCTTTCTCTCTCATTTGCTTTCTCTCTTACTTGTTGAGTGTTTTGTGCCCTGTTTGTCTTCTCCATCGTCATTTCCGGTTAGCACCGTTGCTGTCGGCCGTCGTTGACGCCTAGTGTGTTGTCAGTGTTTAAGGAGTACCAGGTACTTCTTCTCCTTCGTTCCCATTTTTCCTTTTGTTAGTAGTATAGTGAGCGATGGCCAGTGAGGGTGGTCAGGGCTCGATTCCCCCTAGGGCCGTCTCTGGGCAGGCCAAGGGGAAGGGTAAGGCAAAAGTGGCCGCCGCTGACGGTGAGCCTAAGAGAAAGAGGGGGGTAATAACCCCAAGGACTCACACCCCGCCATCTCCGTCCCTGGGTATGAGTGCGTTAGGGGAGATGTGGGTATCTTCGAGAGTAGGTTCAGGTCATATCACGATGTGAACTCTGCGTGCAGTTCACTCTTGATTAGTAGGTTTCCCGTTTTCGAGCTCATCCCGGTTGAGCCTTGCCAACCTGGAGAGCGTGTGTATATGGTAGGTACCGTGAACACTCCATTCTTCTACATGTACCGCTATTTATTTAGGGACCTCGGTGTTTGCCTGCCTTTTACCGAGTTTGAGTGTGGGTTCTTTAGGTTTATAAACGCGGCCCCCTGTCAATTGCATCCCAATAGTTGGGGGTTTTTGCGGGCCTTTCAAGTTCTATGCTCGACTCTGGGGATGAATGCCTCTTTGCCTGTCTTTCTTCATTTCTATCAGCTTAAGCTGGGCGAGCCTCCTCTAGGTTGGGTATCTTTGAGTGGGAGTAAGGCCGGAGGGTTATTTCAACTTTACTCTCAATCGTACAATAACTTTAAAGAAGAGTTCTTCCGGATCCGACCTATAGACAACGATCCAATGACTGAGGAGGTTTTCCATTTTGGGGGGGAGCCGAGGTTCCCTTTCTTCTGGCAACAGAGCCCGGTAAAGTTTAACGAGACGAGTTGTGTGCGCTTGTCGGACTCGGATAGGGACGACATTGCCGGCCTGGAGGAGTTGCCGCACCCTCTGGATAGCAAACTCGTGTTGTCTCTGGCGGGTTTGAAGAATAAAGAAAGGGGGGTGGAGCG